CCCCCGGAACTGTCAGTTCCGTTGTTTTCTCCTCCAGATTGTTCATCCAGCCTGTCCTATCCAGACAGGCCTGAGTATTCTTTTCTTAAAGCAAACAACGCACCAGGCTTTCCTGCACTGTCAACTTCCCTAACGTGAACAACAATAGCCCTGATTAAAACAATCTGTTCAAACTTTATCTGGAGTGTTTTACAAAGAACAGCGAGATGGGCTTGCCCCATAAGCTGGTCTGAGGTACAGCATCAGAACTGAAAATGCAACAGCACCGCTGTCCAGGGTGACGGCTTTAACAAGTGAGACTTGTGCCAGTGAAACGAACTGTACTTTGAGAGATGCCAACAACCGGTTTCCCCGCCCCCTCAAAAAATGAGGGCCAAATACTTGATTCATCATCTTTGCTCAACCTCACTCCTCTAAACTTTGCTCAACCTCACTCCTCTAAACTTTTGCTTTCCTGGTTTTGTGGGGTTTTTTCCCTGACAATATCAGAATTCTTCTAGTTCTGATAACATTTACTGATTCCTTCTTGTTAATTCAGTAGTGCAAGTGCCCCTCCTTCCTGGTCTGAAATTACATTCTACAAATAAAAACATACATTCTATATGTGGCTCCTAATCTCTAGCTTCACATCAATGCATGTGCATTCTAGTATGAGTGCCCAATTTCCTGTCAAGGACTGAAGTTTCATGTCCTCAAACTCAGTGTTCCAAACTAAACAGTAGTCCACACTCCATTCAACCATTGTTCTTTCTATTCCAACTACATTTTTTCAACAATAACTCTCATTGTCTTGCCCCTCCGTTAAAATATCTTAAGTCACCTTTCCCTTCTCTCAACCTCACTCTTTCATCCAATTTGCTATCACATTCTGACATCTTAAATGAATGTATGCTGGTCCACTCAGGTTGGGTCTTCATTCCATTCTCACTATAGTGACCCGTCCTGTTCCTTTCTTCCCATAGGCTCCACTTGTACCTTGTCATTGGCCTGCCAGCAATCCCTTAACAATTCCCACGCATTTCTGCACATAAAGTTGGAACTCCTGTCTGGGTTTCAAGACACTTCATTTTCTGGGCCCATCGAGAGTCATTTTCTACTACTCCATGAGTTATTAACCTCAAATGCAGGGACAAGGCACCAGTCTAAAGCCCAGTAACCCTCCAGGGATATAAGGAAAATGCTGTAAGCCTATGCATTTCCTGGGATACAGGAGGCGGTGAAGATGGGTTAGCTGCCAATTCCTTAAAAGGTTCAAAACCACTGTCCTATAGTCCAAATATGCGTGCCCTGACTGACAGCTCTTCATGCCCATCCAATTTGTCCTCTGCAACTTATTGCCAATTAAATGAGTCCTGGTGGCACTGTGGCTTATGCGTCCGGCTGCTAAGGCTAAGTGGGCAGTTCAGAGGGAGAAAGATGTGGCTGACTGCTCCAGTAAAGATTTAAAATGGACTCGGTGGAAGTGGATTTGTTGGGACTATTTTGTGTCTGGCTGCCACGTTAAACTTCTCAGCTCCCCTTTTGGCCAAATCTTATCCACGCTGCGGGTTCCATTCCCTCAGGGAGTCTCCCAGTCTCCCTCCAACTCCTCTGGCATTTGTCATTCATAAAACATTGAAAACGTAGCTGCTTCTCTCAGGACACGTCCTCGAAAGGGGCCCTGACTTCAATTCCGTTTCTACTTTGCAATCAGCACCCCATGCCAATCCTCAGCCAACTGCTAAGTGCCTGCCCCACCTACACGCGCACCCACCGTGAACCTCACCACCACCCCGCGGGCACAATGTCAACGTGACAGTCCGTCCCGTACCAGGCAGGATAAGGCTACCTTACCAATAAAATCCCGCGGTGGCTCTGGCATGCACCCGGCTTCACAAACCATCCTTCGAGTCTGGATCCATAAACTACATGGAGACCAAAATCTCCTGAAGTTTACAAAACAAAGCAAAAGCCGTCGGCGGGATGCTAGGGCAGAGACGGAAGAAAATCGCCCTTGGGGTTCCCTCGGGTTCCCAAACCGGTTCCCCGGGGAAGCGGACACGCCCAGGGAGGGGCCGCCGCTCCATCGGAGGGCGCGGGTCCGGCGGCTTCACCCAGGGAGGGCGAAGGGCTTCCCTCCGGCGGAGGGGCGACTCCTCGCGCACGGAGACGTAGCCCAGGCGCCCTTCCCCGGCGGGGCCCTTCCGGGCCGGGGTCAGCTCTCAGCCGCCGCCTCAGCGAAGGGGCGGTTTAGTCGCCAGCCTCCTCCGCGACCTCCGTTTCAAATGGCCTCCCGACAGGCTCCGCGGCCCGACGTTGCTTTAGCGCCCGACCGGTTTTACGTCATTGAAGCCAGTGGCGTCGCCATCTTAATTAAGGGCAGGGCGGACCCAAGACCCGAGAAACATTATCACGGGCCCCGTTCCTTAGACCGCTAGGTTTCTCCAGCAGTCCTGGCGCGGCGGCGGCTTCATCCATGGGCCGCAAACCGCAAGGCCAGAAGTTCATGCCCATCGTCAGCCTGGTGAAGCTATAGGCCTCAGGAACCTGAAGGAGGAGTTTCGCTCGGCCTAACAGGCTCGCTACGCGTCAGGATAGACCGACGACGCAGGGCACGGGATTACTTCTCCCCCGACGAGGCGGGTCCCCGAGTTCCCGCCCGGCCCAGCGCGGCCGCGGCGCCTCGCTCTGATTGGTCGCGCTGGCTGACGCAAGGCACGGCGCCCGGGAGCTGGAAGCCTGCGGCCCAATGGAGTGTGCGTCTGCAGGCGTGCAGTTTGCAAACGCCCGCCGCTGCCGCCACGTCTGGGTGGTCGGGCGCCAAGGGCAGCGCCCCGCGGTTGTCGCGAGCCTCCGCCGCGACCAGCCTCGCGCCCCGCCGGCCGCAACCTGGTTTGTTACAAGAAGGAGGAACTGAGGCAGAGAGCGGGATTAGCTCTTTTGCCTTTGACCCACCACCCGAAAGGGCCCCGAAGACCTTGCAGATTTATTTTCTCGTTTGTAGACGCGTGTTCCTTGGATGTTACCCGGTAGAGGGCAGGAATACTGAGGGCAACTCCTAGAATTTTAAGTCTTCTGTGTATTTCCCAAACGGACTTTTGGCCAATACCGGCAGCGTGGATTTCGTGAGAGGCCCTGGCTATTCTGTGTGTCCATCATGTACTTCCGCCGCGGGCTGAACCTGCTCTACCAAGGTTTATTTACACCCGTCGGGAAGACCACCACGCAGCCCCTCTGCGCTTCTCTCGGCAGAGGTCTGGTGCTGAGTGCACAGAGGAGGACTCCAGGTGAAAACGGTGCAGAGCCCCGAACAGCACCCCTGCGCTCCTCCGTTGCCCACCCTCTCACCCCGGCCGGAACTGAGTTTGGGAAGCAGATCATTCACTCTCCCTCATTCCTTATGCTGCTGTATCTTCTTTGCATTTTTTGAAAAAGATAACCACATTGATGGGATAATCTGCTTTTATGTTGGTGCGATTGATGTTCCTGTGTGTCACGGAGTGGATTAGGACACTATAGGACAGCAGTTCTCAACCTGTGGTTGAGACCCTTTTGATGTGATGACCCTATAGGACAGCAGTTCTCAACCTGTAGGTCGAGACCCTTTTGGGGGGTCGAACGACCCTTTCACAGGGATCACCTAAGACCATCAGAAAACAAATAGTTCACAATATGTAATTACATATTGTTTTATGATTAATCACTATGCTTTAATTATGTTCAGTTTGTAACATTGAAATTACATGCTGCATATCAGATATTTGCATTACGCTTCGTAACAGTAGCAAAATTACAGTTATAAAGTAGCAACAAAAATAATTTTATGGTTGGGGTCACCACAACATGAAGAACTGTATTAGAGGGTCGCGGCATGAGGAAGGTTGAGAACCACTGCTCTAGGATAATATAGGGTTTCCTACTTGAAATCGACATAAGGTTTCCAAGACAGCAATCTTTTATCTCCTGCACAGCCTCTGGTGGATGGTTCTTGTCTGCAGACAGGAGCTTAACCATTGTACCACCAGCCTCCTTAATTCTAATAGGAACCTTAAAATATTCTTTCAAAAAAATTTCTTTAAACATTCTTTCACACCTGAAAATACTTTTAATATCATTTCTACCGACTGGCAGTAGACTCATTCTAAAATTAAACATTGTAACCATATTTATGACACTAGCCACTGGATCATGACTTACCGTGGAAGCCACTAATGAAAATATCCACCATGAAAAAATGCATAAAGGCAACAACTATGTGCTGCACCATCAGAATTCTGTCATTTCTAAGCTCGCACTTCACTTGGAGAATATACGTACAATATTAAGAATTAGGCTAACAAGACTTTTGGTCAATGCAAATGCCAGGTTATCTAAAAGAAAAGTTATTTTAATAAGGCAAACATTTGCATTATGAAAATGATCCACTTGGATTTTGACACATAGGCAGGCTTAATAGTAAATCAAATTGTACAATCTGATACATAAATTTCATCCACTATCCTGAAGTACCCAAGATGTGATTTGAAAGTCTTTAAGGAGTTTACAGTTGAATTTCTTTTTTTAATCTTCCTTTGTATTTGTTTGTTTTTCAGAGTTGAGTAGCTTTGTGACACGGACCAACACATGTGGGGAGTTGTGTTCTTCTCACTTAGGCCAAGAAGTCACCCTGTGTGGATGGATTCAGTACCGTCGGTAAGTTGAGACAGATTCAGGGAGCTTGGTGGTCAAAAAATAACAGGCTTGCATTTCCTGTAAGATTCTGAGAATTCATTGGATCTTTAGTTTTGTTTTTGCCTTGAAAGACCCAGAGATAGATACAGTAAGAGCTATAGCATCTATCAAAGGATATAAAACTGACCTTATGAAGTGGGTGTTAACAAACCCAGGGACAAGGGAACAACAAGTGATCCAAAATCGGTGTAAGGGCTGGTAGGGCGTGATCAAGGGCAATGTAATCTAGAGGAATTACTGAAACCCAATTGGAGGCTGAGCATGATAGTGGAAGAAGAGGAAGGTAAAAGGAAATAGAGGAAATAATTAGGAGGCAAAGGGCATTTATACAGGTCTAAATACAGGCATGTACATATGTAAATATATTTATGATGATGGGGAAATAGATTTATGTACATATATTTATAGGTTTAGTATTAAGGTAGCAGATGGACATTGGGCCTTCACTCAAGTACTCCAACAACGCAAGAACACTTTGTTCTGTTAAACTGGTATTCCATGATGCTCACCTCCCCATCACAATCGCTGAAGACAAAGCGGGTGCATAAGCAAATGTGAAGAAAGTGGATCGTGCCTGGCTATCAAAAGATATAGCGTCTGGGGTCTTAAAGGCTTGAAGATAAACTAAGCTCACATGGAAGAAGCACACCATCCTGTGTGATCACAAGGTGTCGATGGGATCAGGTATCAGGGATCAAAGGCATCAAAGAACAAAAAATCATCATTGTGAATGAGGGGGAGTACGGAGTGGGGACCCAAAGCCCATCTGTAGGCAACTGGACATGCCCTTACAGAAAGGGTGCAGGGAGGAGACAAGCCAGTCAGGGTGCAGTATAGCACCAATGAAACATACAACTTTCTTCTAGTTCTTTAATGCTTCCTCCCCCTCAGTATCATGATCCCAGTTCTACCTTACAAATCTGGCTAGACCAGAGGATGTACACTGATACCGATCAGAGCTGGAAACAGAGTATCCAGAACAGATGAACCCCTCAGGACCAGTAGTGAGAGTGGCAATACTGGAAGGGTAGAAGGAAGGTGGGGTAGAAAGGGGGAACCAATCACAAGGATCTACATATAACCTCCTCCCTGGGGGATGGACAACAGAAAAGTAGATGAAGGGAGACATTGGTCAGTGTAAGACAAGACAAAATAATAATAATTTATAAATTATCAAGGGTTCGTGAGGGAGGGGGTATGTGGAGAGAAGGGGGAAAAATGAGCTGATACCAAGGACTCAAGTAGAAAAAATGTTTTGAGAATGATGATGGCTATAAATGTGCTTGACATAATTGATGTATGTACAGATTGTGATAAGAGTATACGAGCCCCCAATAAAATGATTTTTTTTTAATGACCTGATATGCACCAGTACACTAAAATGGTTTACTAGGGCTGGAGTGCTCCTAGGACCAGTAATTTGGAATGGGAATGCATGCCATGAACCTGTGGCTCAGTGCTAATAAAGTGAAAAAGGCTTAATTTCTTCTAACTTAGGGAAGGAGAAAACTTGAAAACTTGAAGTACAGAGCCCATTCATCTCTAAATTCTAGAACACACCTAAATAACACATTGACTCACAATGAAACTATATCTACAGTACATAGATTATGTGACCTGCCAAAATATTGCCACATCTTTCTCCGTGAAGCTGGTGGGTTTGAACCACTGACATTTCTGTTAGCAACCTAGTACTTGACCCCTGCACCAGCAAGATCCTTAACCATATAGAAAACCAACAAAAATTGAAGTGGAGAGGGGGAGAGGGGGAAGAGGAGCTGATACCAAGGGCTCAATAGAATGTAACTGTCTAGAAAAGAATGATAGCAACATATGTACAAATATGCCTGATAAAATT